AAGCCATATCCTCACCTATTGTTCTTTGGTCAGGTGTTTCCTTATCACTCGATGCAAACAGCTCTTAGCCCATACCCCACCCCCCACCCCCCAATCTCAGCAGCATTTGCCGGTTGATCTTGCCCTCCTTGGATAATGTTTCCTTGACACCCATCTTACTACACTCCCCTGCTGTTCTTTTGCCTCAAACTGCTTCTACCTCCATTGGTGGGCGACCTGACATTTTTGAGTAACTTCAGGACTCAGCCTTAGCTGCTACTTTAGTTGGTGCCACATAGCCCCATGGTTTTTAGAGGCATTATGGCATAGTAATTGAAGGACAAAGGTCCTCATGATGCTGTGTAGGTTACAATCCGAGGACTCTTGTGACTAGACTAGGATTAATTTAACCCCCCCACTATCTGTTTTATGTTAAAATAGTCAATATACCCATTTCATGGGGTTACTCTGAGAATTAGATAGAATTTTTCATGTTGAACTATTTGACATCTAGCATTCTAAAGTGTGTGACCATGTCAGTAACTGGAGTCGAGTCTGCCTAGTTCTCCACCTATCAACTAGTGATCTTTAAAATAAATTCACAAAACAGATCTGCTTAAAATTTTCCAGTAGCTACAATACCTACCAGTTGGGACGAATCCTGATTCCTTACTAGAGCCTAAAAAACTATATCCAGCTCTGACCTACCTTTCCGACCATATCTCCTCCTCTTTACGATTTTCTTTCTGCTCTAGACATGCTTCTGTTCAATTCAGGCCTTTATACATCACCTTTGTACTTTTATTTTTTTTTCCCCTACTATCCTGTTTCCTTTGAAACATCTGCCAGGGCAACTTCTCTCATGGGTTACTTCAGCTCCCTTACTAGAAAGTTCCTCAACGCTGTTTTTTTCTTCAAGAAATACTTCGCTGCTTTCCCTCTGTAATGCAGTACCAGTGTATTTCTTAGCACAAATCATCTGAAATTCTCATTTCTCACCCTTATCGCTGTCAGAATTTGTTTTACACTTGTGTATCAATGATTGCTAACACATCCATTCCCCATTTCTATGTCAGGTACTCCACTCCCTCAGCACCTATCCTATGTGTCTCTCCCTTTTTACTTCCATTTTTCAGTAAAGGGAACTGAGGCAGAGAGTAAATAATGTACTGAAATTCTCAGCATAGAAGTCCCAAAAGCCAAGAAAATCACTCTGACCCTAGCTGCCCTGTACTTAACTGCAATGTAAGAATACCCTGAGTGTTTAGAGGACGCTGTGGTTCACAGTTCTCAAGGGTCAACTTCAACAAGTATTTGTTGAATAAATGCTGATTTATCAGTTTGTTAAGATTACATGCATTCATTCTTGAAAGTAGTAGTTCTTTAGCATAGGTTTAAGAATGTGAATGGTATCAGTTTTGTAAGATTAGAATTAAACATGTCAGAAAAAGACACATTACCATTTTGGGCAAAACCTGGTAACCTGGTGTGAATTTGGTAAGAGTCCCCACTGTCTCAGAGTAGCCTTGCAGCTGGCCAGTATATCTCAGGGATGATGAGACTCATTTATAGGCATTCCTACATACATCAGTTGCTACTCAGAAACTTAAGGGAACTTGACAATGACTAGCAGAAGTTCATAAGAGGAAAGAAATGCTTAGGAGATTTCTAAGGCTTGCCCAGTTCCAGATAAGTATCTTTAGAATTTTTTTTAAGGTTTTCCATTTTTTAACCTTACTACATACCACCTATTTTTTTGAATTTTGGGACATTTTATTCATTGAGATTGAGTGTGAATGATTTAAAGTTTAGGTGTTACATAAATAGTAAACCAAATAGTTAAATTTACATGATCAAAACTAAATAATGAAATTCACTCACTGAACCTAGTGAACCTATTACGAGTTTTTCTTTATTTACTCTGTATATTTAGGTGGATGATCTGCACATAACAATATCTAACCAGTACAGGACTTACATAGTTGATGTTAAAACCCAAAATATATTTGTTGCATATGAACCAGCCTTTTCAGACTGTTGGTTTCTGCAAGTGAGCTGCATACTGCAAGGTTCTTTAGGAAGGATCAGAATGAAAAGAATGGTGCCTAAGCTATATACCTTAGAGTATACAATTTCACATGAAGAGAAATACACTAACTAGAAGGGAATAAAGGAACAGACATCATTAAGGAGACTGATATCTCTTTTTTTTTTTTTTTTGATATCTCTTTTTATAGGGCAGTGAACAATTCAAATTATGGTTGGAGAGCCCTCAGATTATTAGCACGGAGAAGCCCTCATTTCTTCCAGCCAACCAACCAGCAGTTTAAAAGCTTGCCAGAATATCTCGAAAATATGGTAATAAAGCTAGCCAAGGAATTACCAGTAAGTAATAAAGACCAAATTTTTTATATCCTTTATTCAGTGTTACCTGCTTTAAAATTATTACCATTTTGAGCAGAAAATTGAATTTATGTAAGAAAACTATGGTCCACCCCCAATGCCATATTTTAAAATGAAGGAAAAAAAAAACCATTTGAATACAGAGATTAAATTGATAAACTTTAATGACTTTTTATAAAGTATATTTTTATCAAAGTCCTTAACTCTGGAAAGCCTATTACCCACCTGTAAACTCAAGCATGAGTTTTTCCAGTTTGCCAATATATTGTATTGTTTATTACTAAGAAGTGGGGCAACTTGGGCCTTCTTTCTAGTCTAGTCTCTTTTCCTACGTAGTTTTCTAGTTATTGCTTCAATGCAATAATGTATAATATATAAAAAGTATCTTGTAAACTACTCAAATTAAGGACACAGTTGCTACCCCCTCCCTGTTTTTCCTAGAGCTTGTATTTATAATTATCATATGCTAAATATTTGCAAACCAATTTACCATGTTCTTGAATGCACCCCGTCTTCCTAGGTTGGGGGTGAGAGGGGTCTTCCAATTCTGAAGTAGTCTTCCTCTGTCTGCTCTTCTCCAGGTCCCATTGCAGTTCTTAGCTCACATTCATTTTTAACACTCCTAAGTTTTTTGCCCTATACGTGGGAGTCTAACCACTCTTATCTAAACCAAAGCGGTCTACCCCCAGTACTATAACTCTAGAAATTGGCATATATTTTAATCACACTTCATATTGTTTTAGCCTCCTTCTGAAGAAATAAAAACAGGTGAGGATGAAGATGAGGAGGATAATGATGCCTTACTGAAGGAAAATGAAAGTAAGAACTGAATTTTCTTGGTTATTTTACAAACAGAAAAGATTGGGGTTCTTTCAGAGATATGCTATTTAAGGTGATATAGCTGTCAACACCGACCATTTATCTCAGCTTTACTTCTTAGAGTGTGGATTTAAGATATTGCTTGACAATAATTTTCTAAATATTTTATACAGTAAAATGTAGACTTTGATTTAAGAATGATACTCATCCCAAGGAGACTATAAAAAGGAAATGTTTTACATTTAAAATAAAACTTACTAAAAGTAATATTTCAGAGCCCCCCCATAAGGTCTCAGTTTTGTTGTATACTCTGAATTGGGCAGGCCCTGCCTTTTATACATAATTACCTTTCCTTTGTTTTCTTTCTAGGTCCTGATGTTCGGAGAGACAAACCTGTAACAGGGGAACAAATAGAGGTATTTGCCAACAAACTGGGTGAACAATGGAAGATTTTGGCTCCCTATTTGGAAATGAAAGACTCCGAAATTCGACAGATTGAGTGTGATAGCGAAGATATGAAGATGAGAGCAAGGCAGCTACTTGTTGCCTGGCAAGATCAAGAGGGAATACATGCAACACCTGAGAATCTGATTAATGCACTGAATAAGTCTGGATTAAGTGACCTTGCAGAAAGTCTAACTAATGACAATGAGACAAATAGTTAGCTTCTTTCTTTTTTTTCTTTTTTATTAAAACTGTGATAAGATTTTGTTACCAAGCAGCATTTCATAGAGGTCCACTGGTTTTGGTAAACAATAAACATTTTTTATAACAGTTGTACAGTTCGCTGGTGCTCCAAGAACAACAGAACACATACTGGCTCTTAGTAACTGACCTCATGGTTTGAGAGGCAAGTAGGGATGGACTGGGAAAACAGCCAAAGTGACCTCAAGGTCATGTAATATATATTTTTGTTAAATATATTTCTAATAAAGTCAGTAAGTGCTATTAAGGGAAATGGTGTTTTCCTAGGATGTGCTATATACCAAATTAGTAGTTAAAAATTTGACTTGCTACTCTACAATTCCCAGGAAGAGTGAGACTTCCTGAAACTGTCACTATAGTCTCACAGTCTCACTCATACTTTAAATCAGAGGCTTGGCAAACAGTGGTCCATTCAGCGTGCCTTTTTTTTTTTTTTCCCCATAAGTAAATTTTATCAACTCACAGCTATCCTCATTTATGTAGTAACTATCTATGGCTCCTTTCACACTATAACAGCAAAGATAAGCAGTTGTAACAAAACTATATGGGCTGTAAATCTTGAAATAGTTACTGTCTGTACCATTACAGAAAATGTTTGCCAAACCACCAACTTTCAAAGAAATGAGGGGCATTTAAATTGTTAAAGTAAGGATACCTGGCTCAGAGATTTATGAAGTTCAAATGCTGTGTGGGTGAAAACATCCTAGAAATACCAAAGCACTATGCAGTAATGGCTGGAGATAGATAATACCTTCTATTTTTTTCCTGATCCCATATAAATAACATACTTTGGGGCTCTTAAGATTAGGTCACCAACGTTTTGAATCCTTGAAAAGAATATAATTGCATACTACACTATAAATGTTCTTGTTTAGGCTTAACTTCACCTGCTAGTCCAACCATGATGCTCTAATATCGAAAGGGCCTCAGCGCTAGTTGCACAGCATATAAGGCACACTCAGGAATCAGACATTATCTTGCCTACTTTCCTTTCTCAAAGACTATATATGTAAGGTCAGATTCTAAAGATGCCTTAATTAAAAAAACATAAAATACCTTTGGAATAATGCTTGTTTGAAATAAATCATATTTTTTAAATTAACTAAAATTTTAGAATACTGATTCCATATAAGATAGATATAAGTTGTTTTAAACCAGAGAATTATCATTCTGTAGCTAAATTTATGTCCTCAAAATTATTGAAACCAAGTAAGAATGGATTTTTAAAAACTTAAAGTTACTAGCATCATATCTGTAGATAAAATCATTACAATTCTTACAGTCTCATCTTTCCCATTGTATTCTGCACCCTCCCTCAAAACAAAGAGTATTGATTGCCAATAGTAAGAATTTAGCTAAGGAAGCTACTTACAAACATTTCCCTGTAATGATTATCTAATATCCTTCTATTCTCAGATTACACCATATTGTTCAAAGTGGAAAATGGCAACTATTCTCTAGGAATCTAAAAGTTACCAGTATTATGCTCTGCAGAGCACTGAAAGAGCATAAGCAAAGATGTAAGATTTCATGATAATCCCCAAAACTTTATTATAAAATATTGTGAAAGTCAGAGACAAATTAGCTTAATATTCTATTCTTTCTCTACCAATGTAAAGCTCCTGAAACAGATGAGAAATTAATCAGAAGATATTAAATGTAAGAAACCTACCATACTGAAATACCTTGTATTCTTGGTATTTCTACCATCATTGTAAAAATTGTTATTAAATTGAGAATCATTAACCTTTTGGGAATTGACAGGACAGTAAAAACAAACACAAACTGAGCCAAGGGACAGATGTGACTGACAATATTGCAATTATTATCCAAAGAACTCCCATTACTTTTACAAGTATTTTTTTTTAAACATTATGATGCAAGCAGGCAAACAAGATAACATTTTTAAATGGATGCTTAACAGCAAATTATGTAAATCTGCACAAACTATAGTATTAAACATACCTATACTTCACTGAAGCTCCAACACTCAATAGATAAAAGACTTGAGGTCAAAGCTGTTAATCCCTCTTATAGTTTTATTATTAAATATCCTCATTTTCTAAAAATAAGCAGCCAGAGCTTATCAACAAAATTTTAAGGTTGATTACTACAAAACCATTGCAAAGTTCAATGTACAAACCATAGTACATCAGAGAGACAAGGTAATGTATAATCATATGTACTATTATTGATCACAATTTATTTTAAAGTCATGAAAAGCCAGCACTGTCAGGCTGGGTAAATACTTGATTGTACCCATGTTCCATGGGATATGGACAGCAGCACTGTTACACAATGAGAGCAACGCTTACTTCGTTTCCACCTTCCTGGCAAAATCTGTTAGATAAGGCAAAGGATGGGCAGCTACTGAATGGTGGTTTAAACCATGCAAGAACAACAACAAATAATCGAGTAGTAGGTGTGTAATAAACATCTGATTGCTGAATCTTGGACTGAAAAGAGCAGAGAGAAAAGTTGTCCAGAAGATTCTGACCCAGAATTTTAAACAATGCAGAAACTTTTTAAAAAATCATTCTGCCACCTAATACAAGACAGCACAGTCAAAAGGTATTTTCTCTCCTGTAAGTTGTCATTAGAGTGGTTTGCTTCTACCCGCTTTCGTCCGATGTGAGGGGAAACCTAAAACCATGGAAGCATCTTCCTCTAAAGCCCTAGATTATAGAAAAGATCAACAAATAACATTTATTTCACACCTAAACATAAATAGCTAAAATGAACATTACTATTCACTTTCCTCTTCCATGATCTCAACTCTGCGAGGGCCATATAGTAGAACATAAGCTATATGCCAGTCTCCGCCACCAGAAAGCCGCAAGATATCTTCTGGTGTCACAATGCTGACCTTATCGTCATCGAACTTAATCCATTCATCTAAAGGTTGAGACAAAAAGTAAGATTAATATTCAGAGTTCTATTACATGAAAAGTACTGGGTAGTTTCATGCTATTGCAGTTGTAAGCAATACCAAGAGTTCTCAAAGTGTGGTCCAGGGACTACTCATGATAAAGAACATTTCAGGGGATCCATGAAGACTTTCTGAAACAATACTAAAACATTTGCCTTTCCCCATTCACTATAGTGTGCTTTGAAATTTTCCAGGAGCTACACAAAGTAAAATGAACAACAGAATGAAGAAAGACAGAAGAATCTAACAATTCCTTATTAAGCCAAATAAACCAAAAAATGTGTATTAATACTGCTTTGCTTTTTTTTTTTTTCTGTTTTGGAAAGTATTTTTAAAAGTTACATTAATAAGTAGTTTATTACTGCCATTTAATGAGTTTAATTTTTTACAGTAGGTAACAGTAAATAAAAATTCTCAGGGGTTCTCAGAAATGAAGAATGTAGGGGGGTCTGAGAGCAAAAAGTTTAAAACCACTGTGCTATATAAAGTTTATACTAAACAAGCTGAGCACCATATATAGCAAGTGAAAAAGATAATGAAATCTTTACCTTGTTTCCTTTTCACCCATGACACATAATGACCCGAAGAGCTAGACCTTCCTTGGTGTGTTAGCACTGCTTGTAAGTCATAGTATCCACAATTATTAGAGCCAATGTCTAAACAAAAATATAAACCCAGTAATATTAGACAATGAGTACATAAGTACTTTGCCAAGTCAGGAAATAAGCAAGATCTCTGAAGTTTAGGAAGTAAAATAATTCAGTAAGATACTACTGCTAAATCAAAGTAAAAGCATCATGAAAGCTCTCTTAAGAAGTATGGTACCATTTATACAACTGCACACTAAAAGGTGGTTTGTACTATACATTTTATAAGGTAAATTATATTTCAAGAAACCCAACTTCTTTCTTTTTGAAAGCTTATCTGAAAAAACATGGCAAGACAGTAATTGTTACCTTAAAAAAGGAAAACAACCCATAATAACCCAAATGAAATGATAATTTCACTTACCATCAGCAAAAGAAAAAGGTTCATACTTAATTTCTTTCTGCGGACTACTTTTTTTGTCACTCTGAGGAAAAAAAAAATTATTTTTAAATCCTGATATTGGAAATAAAATGTGTATTCTCAATGAGAATTATTCCACAAATTATCCTTCTACAATGAAATGTGGCAAAGCAAAGATAGTCTACATTACCAAATACTGTAGTGAACAAAAAACAAACCCAGAGGGTCCTTTACTTTAACAATAAACAATTATATGTATAGTAACAGACCCTTCGATTACAGGACCAACTTTAAAACCACTAAAGTACAGCATACATGTGAATGCATGTGTTCTAGAGCAGAAAAGGAAAATCGCATTCTAAAAATTTATCAAAACACTATCAAGCTACACATGTTTTAAAAAAAAACAACTGCCGGCCGTCCCTGGTGGCGCAGAGGGTTAAAGCACTGCCCTAAGAAGCTTAAGCCACTTCCGCATGAGTTCGATTCCTGGATCCCCGCCTGCCCCGGAGGTGACCACATGGCGTGGCAGACCTCTCCTGACCGGCCCGCTGCTCCCCTCAGCAGTGTACTTCGTCGATCTGCCTGTTCTGCTCCCCACTCTGTCCATGGTGAATCCTCTCACCTCCGCATCTCTGGCCTGTACCCCAAAAGCCAAATTGCCACGACTAATATTAAATCTAATGAAGCACTGGAACCTGCCACTTCATAGTAAATTACATTTACTATAAAGAGGTAAGGCTATTATAGACAAAGATATTTAGAGTGAACTTCTGGCCTCAACCCATTTTCAGTGTATAATACAAAAAAAAAAAATCTAGGCATATGAGCACAAAATTCTTGAAAACTACAATGGTAATGAAAATGATGCAAGCTGTTTAAAAATAGCTTGAGTGACAAGAAATAAAAGGAACCTACAACAAAAAACTGTCAATTAGGTCAACCATTCCTATCTACCTACCTACCTACCTTTTACCTTCTTAAAAAGTAGTCTCTAGAGCAAAGACAAAAGCTACACATTTAAAAGCACTAGATAAATCAAATTGAAAGCCTAAAAGATGTCTATATCCCTAGAAGATCACACCAAAAAAAAAAAAAAAAAAAAGACCAAAGACAGAGAGGGACATGCACACACTTTGCTACAATCCTTACTATAGCTTTACTACACAACTTCAACCCTTACTACAAACCTACATAATCACAAATATGGTACTACTATGACAGATAATATAGCCCAAAGGAATAAAACTGAGGGTCCAGAAATGTACATCTATGGTGCCTGTAAGTGTACGAAGACCATATAATCGATAATAAACAGTGCTGATACAAGTAAATTTTTACAGGCAAAACAATGAATTTGGAGCTTTACTTCGTCACATATATAAAAATTAACCTAGAACATATCACAGGTCTAAATGAAGTTATAAAATTCTTAGAAGAAAACAAAGAAAGAAATTTTCATGGCATTGTACAAGACAATGGTCTCATAACACCAGAAGCATTATAACATGTTATCACAAGGGTGAGTTAGGTGAAAGGTACTTCTTTGTATTAGTTCTTATAACTGCATATTCTTTTACAATTCTCAAAGTTGAATTTTTAAGAAACTTTCTTTTTACATACATAAATGATAACCTACATAAAGTTTTAAATTAGATACATAACATCACCTTGAAAATATTTCCAGTTATCAGGAAAACATATCCAGTATATAATTTAGCTGTTTCTTATCTAACCCTAAAATAAAAGTATGTATTAACTGTAAATTTGCCAAGTTATAATTTTATACCAATTATAGGCAAACAGCAGCACTGACTAAAGATACACTTTGCTGCATAACCATGGGTATGAGTGAATCAATAGTTCATAAAAATTCCACTAAAAATGGAGGTTACATCATGTCTCATGAGGAAGAATAATAATGTAGAGTGTACTACACAACATTTATGTGTTTTGAGTAGATAATAAGAGGACTATAAAGTACAGATTGCAGGGAGAAAGAAAATATTGAGCCTTACTCTATTATCAAGTACCCATTTACCACAAACAGCAAATTGTTTTTCTTAAGCCATAAATACCTAAAATTTGAAAGGCATGCTTGAACGAATATATGTAGAATTTCTATATATGTTAAATGAAGCAGTCTCATACATTTTTGCTAAAAGTTAACAATACCTATAATTGTTAAACAATGATTAAATATTAAAAATATTTAGAGTAGAGGGCCCTCCCTAGAGGTGCAAGGATAGCTCAGCACTGTGAGGTTGTCTACAGCCACCACAGCACGAGTTCAATCCCCTGCCAAGGAGCTGACCCACCTGGTGTGGCAGACTTCTCCTGTTCCGCCTGCTTCTTCCCTCAGCAGTGTGTTTCAGTCAATCTGACTGTTCCACTCCTCCCTCTCTGGTGGATCCTCTTACCCTCTGCACCTCTGGCCTGTACCTTGTTCTTGTATGCATAAATAAATAAATCTTTAAAAGAAAATCTCTGTAAGAACTTACTGTCTTTGGCTGTAGATTCACTTTTTTATCTTCTAGATCCTTGAATTTTGATCGAAAAGAAACCATTTTCTCTTGGAGTTCTGGTGTACACAGTTCATACACATCCAACATAAGAGGAAATTTAACATCCTATATTCAAAAACAATAAATTTTTAAAAAATTGTAGAAATCACATGGAAATCTGTGCAGATGAAAACCTACAATGATTGTTTTCAAGAATGAATCTGTTCCTAATTTTTACAAATAAATATTTAAAACTTTTACTGTCAGACATTTTAACCCATAAAATTGACCACAGAAGAATGACCAGAAATTATATAACAAGAGAAGTATTTCAGAATTAAGACCATTTGCTGTGAAAATAATCAAAATATCTAAAACCAGCAAGAGTTAACTTGCAAATATACTCACTTGACTTTTAAATCTGAAATACAATTTTACATAGAAATAAATGATAAGTACAATATTAATAAATATTGAAATTTAAAGTTAGATACCTCCTGCCCACCTGTGACTACACAGGTGCTTCTTTTTCCTGTTATGTCCTTTTAAAATGAAATAAAATAAATTTAACACTAGTAGATACTTCAACTATACTTACCTTCTCAAATAATACTAAGGTTATTAAAAAATATATTATAAATTTCAGCTCAAGATGTGTGTGTGTGTGTATATATATATATATATATATATATATCCATCCCAAAGGTCAGGGACTCTGGATATACAGCACAGCTTAGGCAACCAAACAGCAAATTAAACAGCAAATTAGTAAGGTTGGTACCTATATCAAGATATTACAATTTAAGTATTCTTTGGGCAGCAGTTATTTATATTCCTTTCACGTAGAAGAAAGGTACTGCCTTTATTCTATGCCCTACCCCACTTCCATCCCCAAACCTAGTGGGTCAGTATCTTTACAGTTGAGGATATGGTCCACAGCACTGTTTATGAGGAGCAGAGAGAACCCATCAAAATTACCTGGAAATCTTTTGAAAGATTTAATACTTCAGGCTCTACTTAATTCAGATGCTTGGAGGGCAGGAGTAGTGAGGCATATGTATGATTTAAAATGAAAAGAACCATAGATAATTTCAATACAATACATACTCATAGCTAAAAAACCACTTTCCTAATGTTAATAAGTCTCCTATTTACAGTGTTTGGAAGAAATTTCAAAGGAATAAATAACAGGTCTTATTGTAAATTAGAGTGACATTTAAAGAGTCTTAGCATTTGTTTAAACTAAAGCTCATTACTAACCTTAAGAACTTTAGCATTCACAGATTCCTTCTCTTTATAAAAAAATCGAACCATCTGAATGGTTAAGTAAGCAGGTAGTCGGCTAATCTTGGACTGAGAAGAAAACATGGAAAAAAATCCCATTACATGCTAATACCACACACAAAATTTTTTAAAAATTGTTTTAGTAGAACACAAAGACTGAGTAACACTAATTAACTAGAAACTTTTCAATGCTAGGAAACTCAACTTCAAAAGGAATGTACAACTTACAGATTTGAGGTACAAAGCATTTCTTTGCAATGATGGAGACTGTTTGGTGATTTCTTCCTGAAGTCGCTAAAAAGGAACATTAAGATCAAACATTACTTTGAAGAATTTTTTTCTTGAAACACAGAAGACCTTTAATTTTTTAAAGTTAGTATTACTCAACAGAAAGCATACAATATCTACATACCAGTATGGATTTATACCAGGGAGGAGTAAATTTGAGTACATAACCAATGCTGACATATGATTCAATTCTATAACATATCAAATAACATACTGGTATGAAGTCCTCAGAATGCAAAATAATGGCTATAAGTTCTTAATTATGAGCCAAATGTTCCTAAGAGTTTATGCTATATTTTATGTAATACATGAAAGCTTTTTTTTTTAAAAAAGATTTATTTGTTTATTCATACAGAGCTGGGGTACAAGCCAGAGATGTGGAGGGTGAGAGGATTCACCAGAGACAGAGCGGGGAGCAGAACAGGCAGATCGACGAAGTACATTGCTGAGGGGAGCAGCGAGCGGGTCAGGAGAGGTCTGCCATGTCATGTGGTCACCTCCGGGACAGGCAGGGATCAAACTCATGCGGAAGTGACTTCAGCTTCTCAGTGCAGTGCTTTAACCCACTGCGCCACCAGGGAGGGCCACATGAAAGCTTTTAAAGGCATTTTTCCACTTATAGGTTATCAGAATATTCATAATATTAAAAATTAAGCCAAGGGCCCTCCCTGGTGGAGCAAGGGTTAAATCCCCAGCCAGGGTGGTGACCCACATGGAGAAGCAGATTTCTCTGGTCTCAGCAGACCTCTCCTTTCTTTCCCACTATTCCTCTAAGCAGTGTATTTCTCAGTATGCCTGTTCTGCTCTCCACTCTGTCTCTGGTGAATCCTCTCACTCCCTGCACCTCTGCCTTATATCCCAGTTTGAACACATAAATAAATTAATCCTAAAAAATAAAAAATTAAGCCAAGGAAATCCTCATCCATTTTACTGTATAAGCTTTCAATCAATTATTGTTAAATTTGAAAAAGGTTGTAACAGAAATCCTCAGTTAATTTAACAAATGTTGGGAAATATTCAGTTTGTAGCTTATCATCATGACTGCCATTCCTTTACAGCTTAAAGAACCTTAGGCAAGATAGTTACATCTCCGTGTCATTTGTAAATGGTGAGACTTGTATCTTTATATAATGCTGTTGTGAAAGTTACAAGAATTATTTTACAGAAAGCAAGTCGGCATATATTTTTTTTATCAAATAACCATTACCTATTATTTCTAATACTATAAGAAAAAAATATAACGATTAATATGCTTTTACTTTAATATAAACATACAAATCAGCTAAAGCAATTTACTGTTATTTTTTAATAAAACATGTTACACATGTATAAAAATGTTTTACATTTGATTTTAAAAATTACTAATTGCAGGCTCTCCCTGGTGGCGCAACAGGTTAAAGCACCCCATTATGAAGCTCTCCAAAGTCACTGCAGAATGAGTTTGATCCCTGGCCAGGGAGCTGACCCACATGGCGTGGCAGACATCCTCTGACCCCGCCCACTGCAGCCCTCAGCAGTATACTTTGTCAATCTACCTTTTCTGTTCCCCACTGTCAATGGTGAATCCTCTCATCCACCACACCTCTGCCCTGTACCCCAGTCCTGTAAGCATAAATAAATCTTTTTTAAAAAAAATTACTAATTGCAATATAAAAAGAATCATTGTAGAGTCACTTTTTAATGCTTCAATAAGTGTATTCAGTATTGGAGAGGTACAGAAATCTGGAGCCAAATTACTCACGAATAATCAGAACAAATGATAGTAAGGCACCTAAAAATTTTACCTTGACAGTAAGTACATCATCTCAGGAACAGATGTTTTCAAGTACATTGGGTACAATGCTATTCATCAGGTAAGCTATCATATTATCATCAATCCTAAATATCATTATCACTTACAAGTTCCAAGAATCTTTAGTTTTCCTGGAATTTCATAAAATTTTTAAGAAATACCCTGGAGAGTCCTTGTCAACTTCACAGTCTGCAATTAATTTGTTACATGACTTTTAGTAGTTAACTAATATTTGTATGCTTTTAAAGTGAACTTCTCTTGAGAGATATTATTCCTCACCATGTCCTCTCAGCACATTTTTATCAACTGATAAACATACAACCTTGTTTTCCAGGTGTTTCTGTTTAATGACTGCTTACTTAACATACACAGTTGATACATTAACACTGAAATCACAGCCAACTACACTCTAATTCACCCTTAAATGAAGCTTATCTGCCAAATGTTATTTTCTCCTTAAGGTTATTGGAATTCTTGTGCTTTAAACACAAGACAGCAGCTCAACATTATACCTGTAGTCATTTTAAAAGTAAAATCATGAACAAAAATGCAAGACATGTGGCACTAAAATTATTTCAAAAAGGACAACTGTTAGGGCCTTCCTGGTGGCCTACGGGTTGAGTCGCAGTGCTGCTACCACAATGGTCTGAGTTCAATCTGGGTCAGAGAGCTAATGCACCTATCCTGTCTCAGCTGCTGCTCCCTACTCTGTCTGCCTGGTAGACTGCCTGGTCTGTTCCCCATTGTCTCTAGTGAATCTTCTTACTCCTCCACTGCACCTCAGTTCCTCTATGCCAAAACAAGTAAAAAGTCTTTTTTTAAAAAAAGGGACAACTGTTTTTAGAATGAGAGCTGAAACAAAAACACAGAGCATCACCATTGTGGACCTTTGGTGAGTAATGCAATGCTCAATATTTGTCACTGTGAACATGTCTACAACAACCATGAACACACCATGAGTATTAATGCTGGGTTTACAAATAAAGGTTAGCACTCACAAATATGAGCAAAGTAAACAAACAAGTGCACCTGCAAATAGAGAATCTCCAAATAACAAGAATGAACTATAGCTGTCCTTACCAACTTAAGTCCTGTGAAAAGATACTTGACTTCTTGATTAATAAAACAACTAAGCTGAAGCTGATTTTCCTTTCCTTTAGTGACTTCTTCTTCTTCTGATTCCGTGCACTTCATGCTTTGCAAAATAAGATAAGGAATATACAAACAGGCATTCAATTTGTTATATAATCTTGAATATAATAAATTATCCTGTCATTAAAACTAATAACACCTTTCATTGGTATTTAAAACATTTTGGTCTCACAAGAGTTCATTCACATACCAAGATTGAAAGACAAATGTAAAATAACAAATATAAATTGATACTCAGTATGATCATAAAATGGTCTTAATCATAAGTATACATAAGCAGAAATCTTAGATCTTAAATTTGTATTCATGAAGACAGTACTCCCCTAAATTGTTTTATTAATTTGTTCAATCTAATTTATGTAATTTAGTTAATACAATACATTTCATATAATTAAAATTTAATTCTTTATAAGGTGAATTAATGAGGGAGATTCTGGTAAAGATATACTCAGGGGAAAATAATTAAAGTGTACACTTATCTAAATCTAAAGATCAATCCAATAGGCACATTTTTCCAAATTCCTAACTTTGAAGAAATTTTCTCCATATCCATTCCACCACTGCAATCAGTGAACTATACTATGTAAATTTATTAGTTCTACTAAATTATGAGCAAACTATGTAAATCTTGGCGTATAAGGATACGTAGTTTCAAACTCAACTCCAAAGAACTGATCAATTAAACTTTTCTTTTTAGATGGTGTCACTGCTGATGCAGATGAAGAATCTGTCTGCAAAAATAAAATATTCAAATTTTACTTTATAAGATATTATGTTTATATTCTCCCACACAATCCAATTTAATAATACATATTCAAACTTTTTAAAATATAAAGTTCTTCTATCAAAAAACATTTCTGAAGGAATACAGAAGCTCAACAATATCAATTCAGTTTCATAAAGAATATACTGAATTCAATTGTCAAATGAAAACTTTCAAACTGGGACTACAAATTGAGAATTTAATGTAATCAAATACATATCTATTACGATATGTTTATTTCAAGATCTTGTGGTATCGGAAGGAGAATCAAAATATAATAGTCTATAATCACAAATATCTATCAATTACCTCTTTAACGGAATCATCCTCTATGGCTTCTAATTTCTGCTGTAATACTCTCATCATTTGTATCCAACATTCATTAGCATCCTGCATTTGAAAAAGCAACATGGTAAACCATCCACGGTAAAGAATCCTTTCAAGTGATTCTTAACAATAACTTTCCTTAGGGGCTGTCATCTTCTTTAAAAATATTAAACCAAGTTAGGTTATTACATGATCTTGAAATAATGAAGAATTTCAGAATAGGTTATTCACTCTTGACAGCAGATGTTAATATACTAAGCTCCTGATTTTACTAAATAGCTAAACACTTAATCAAGACTCCAAGAATACATGGCAGTGAAGAAAATGGAAGTAACCCTAATAAAGAACATAAATTAAAAAATTCAGATCAAAAGCACGGTTATGAGAAAAAAAAAAAAAAGCAACATGAGAAATTGTGGTTAGGAGAAGGAAATGGGAAATGTGCTATTTCAGTAGTATGGTCAAGGAAGACCTCTCTGATAACCTGACATGTAAGCCATGAAATTTGAATGAGGCAAGGAAAGAAGTCATGATAACTGGAATGTTTAAAAAAAATAACAAGGAAGCCAGTGTAACTAAAGGGAAATCAGCAAAGCAGCCAGCGGCAAATGAAGAGATAAGAGGAAGTCAAGGACTAGACTTGGGAAAGAAAATCACTATCGGGCAAATTACAGAACTGTGACATACAGGAGAAGGTCAAAATGGGAGAGAGAGCACAAAGGACTACGGTGATAGTTCATTGGTGATAGGGTGATGGGAGCTTTACAGGGATTACACCTGCAGGGAGAAATCAAATGAACAACACTGTAAGAAAATAATTTAAAAAAAAAAAATAAGAAGAAAATAAGCCAGTAGAGGGTTTTGAACAAGGACCAACATAATCTTATTTACATTTTAAAAAGGAGTTCAAGGGCTTGTGGAGAAACACTACGGTGAGGCAAAAGCAAAAGATGATAGTTTACAGGCTAATGCACCAGATGTAACAGTGGTGTGAATTAAAGAGCAAAGATTGCTTGTATTTTCAAATACAATCCAATGGTTAAGTATAGGAAACCTAAGTTTTAAATTTACAAAATGAAAACCCAAATGTTTTTACCCTGATTACCTGTTGAAGATATTGTCCTTGTTCACCCTTCTCTGCAAACTGTGGAAAAGCCATGTGCAAAAATTGTAGTAGAATAATAGGAGGAATACTAGAAGATGTTTTATCCATGGAATCAAACAAATCTCTAAGGGCTTAAAAATAAAGCAAATACTGTCTTAGTAAAATGGTGACATATTTGAAACAGGTAAATAAAACTTAATTCTTAACTAATACAAAAACCTACTTTATAACTTTTTTAAGTGTATCTTTTCCTCTGCAATTGCTGGATTCCTAATAAAAAATGTGTTTTTATATTTTAAAAAGCTCACTAGATGACTTTATAATACAATCATGGGTTATAAACAATTGAGCCCTATCCTAATTCTACCTCCTCTTCCTCTATCCATCCCCTTCTTTCTCCACTCCCCCTCTCCACCCCTCTCTCAATCCCTTTTCCAGCTTTTGTTTTCCCACACAAATTAGGGTACATTAATTTAATGCAGAGAACATATAACCTCTATGGAAGGATCAGTAGGCCCAGTGTTACTATTCTGCCTCTATGTTGTTACCTCATCATCAAGTCACCAATTCCAGCCCACCACCCTGAGCCCATATTTGGTTTCCATCTACTGCACTTTCCAATATAGAAATCTGGTTCCTTAAAAACACCTACTGACACTACCAAGTAGCTGAAATCCAAAGTTAGTTTTTTTTTTTTTTTTTTCAAAAACATTCTTCTGAGTTTCCCTAGTGATGCAGGGGTTAAAGTCTCAGGGCTATCAAGCTAATGCCAGTCACTATATCATGAGTTCAATCCTGGCAAGGGAGATAACCGACATGGCACAGCAGACGTCTCTTGTCTCATCTCCTGCTCCCTTCAGCAGTAGATCTCCCTTTTCTGCTCCCCACTCTGTCTCTGGTGAAACCTCTCACTACTGCACCGCCAATAACCTCTGGAAGTACCCCTGCTCTTGTTTAATGTAAGTCTAAGAACTCCAATTATAATGAGGACTATGTTATGCAAAACATATTTGGATCACTATGATGACACTGGAGAAACTCAGAAATTCTGAGTTATTCTCTGATACACAAGCAATTTAACTAAAAGTAGGAAGTGATCATGTTTTCTAAGTGAAAATGCCATTATAACAAATCTTTCATTTAAAAAAATAGAACATCTAATTAAGAAAGCAAATGACACAAAGAAACCTACTCACTATGGTATTAAAAATTAAAAGGTTGGCCACAATTAGAGACCACATTTATACTGTACCCCTTCTTGAAAAGTAGTATATTTGAGAAACTGACCTGCAGTAATATATTGTGCTGAAGCCATTTCCCCTGAAGCTCTCAAGGCACCTGCATACCTAGGAACATTAAGATAGAATTAAAAGGATTTGGGCTCTCCATGATGGTGCAACAGCCATTGCAGCATAAATTCAATCTCTGGCCAGGATGTTGACCCATATGGCACAGTAGACCTCTCCTGTCCTACCCACTGCTCCATTCAGCAGTGTATTTCATTCAATCTGGTTGTTCTGTTCCCTACGCTGTCTCTGGTAAATCTTCTCAAACCCTGTACTTCTGGCCTGTACCCCAGTTCCTGTATGTATAAATAAATCTTTAAAAAAATAAATAAAAGGATTCAATTTATTATAAAATTCAAATGGAAAGAATGTTAAAAGCACTGTAGCGTGCTCACTGCAAATTTCTCAAAGTTGTTCCAACCTTTCTATATTTTCTTCTGGCTTTACTTCTTCAAGCATAAAATAGGAGAAAAAAAAAAAGAGTATTAAGAAAAATAGGAATTTAGATCCATGAAGCCTACTTTAAATTATTTTCCTTTGCTAATATTTTGCAAAAATTTTAAAGGTCTTGGTGAACTAGGAAAACATACCCACTCTCATCATTTTCTAAAATTAGTGTAAAACCAAAAAAATATACATTTAATTTCCATTATTATAAAGGAATAAAATTAACACAATTTCAGATATAACGAAGAAAGAAAATTATTAAAGCAAAACATTACATCAAAACGCAATACACCTGCATTCACCATGAACTTGCTATATAAGATTAAATAAATCATTTAAATTTCTAGAAAGTTTCAAAACCTCCCATCCCAGTGTGGCTATCTTTTTCTTCTGTCACAGCTCCCAAAACAGCTGTGAGAGTGCTGGAAAGTGCCTTTAATATAAATGCCTCAACTCCCAATGCTAATAGCTCAATGCAATAGACATGTCTGGAGGCCAAAAAATCTGAATCAAAGCCTGAATATATAAACCACACTAAGACAGGACCTGACTTTAGCATTCTTTCACAAACAGGACTACACAGGACATTGCATGCCCATGGTTTAAGTGAATTTATTTTGACCTATAATATATAACTTATAACAGGTTTATCAATATGTAACTTCATCATAAATTAAAGATCTGTGCTTCTCAATAAAGCAACTAAAAATACATACACAAACAACACTATTCTCCCAAATGTGGCATTCCTTTACTCAAAAAAGACTTAAAGCTATTTCTCTTCAGTCCTACCTTTTAAGGGCATCTTTGAGTTCAGGCACAGAACGAATACACTGAACCGTAGCGTTCATATAACAAGTGTTACCAAGGTTTGTCAATCCACATGGTAATTCCATCTGATGGTGAAAAGGATAAATCATTTTTATAAAATGAGGATTAGATCTGTGAATAACATTTTGTCATGCGTTAATAAGGGAGGAAAAAAGTCAAGACCACTATCTTGTTGAGTCTGTATATTTTCCCTGTGTCTACATGGGTATTCTCTAGGTACTCCATTTTCTTCCTTTATCCCAAGGATATACACATGAAATTCATTAGTATGTCTAAACTGTCTCAGCAGGAGTGAGAATGGGTGTGTATATGAGGACACCCTGTCCTGTTCATATTGCACCCTGAACTGCCAGAACAGGCTCCAGCCTCCCAAAACCCTGAGCTGAAATAAGCAACTTAGAAAGTGAATGAATGAATAAATACATGCTACTTTTAATATAAGAAGTGTCCTTGGTCTTCATTTAGAAGTTTGGGTATGTTTTTGTGACTAGATATGTAACAAAGAAATTTAACTCTTGTTACATACCAATCAGACTACAGTAATTAACTTTATTACACATTTTTTAGCTTTAAGTCAATTTCCAACACCCGCTTGAAGACAAGAATGTTAAGTGAGGACTTACTGAATAAATTACCAGAGTTCATTTATATACTTTGAAACAAGAACAATTTACAAACTCATACCAGAGTAGCAAAATAAACATAAAAACACTCACACACACACACACACACACACTCACACACACACACCATGGTAGCATATAACTCCTGGGTGGTTTAAATAAGTATTCAAAATACGTGATGGCCAGTTTCTAAACCAAATTTGCATTTAAATTAAAAATAAACTATTTCCAGCATGGAAAGTTTTAAGCATTTAAATGCCCCAGTATTTAAGCTACTTAACTTATTTAAGGCCATTTTCCCATAAAAGTAAATACTCAATGAATACTATTACCAGACACATTTATTACAGATGTTTGCTTTATAGTATCTATGTCTGCATCTTATAACAACCTTCATCTGTAGAATAAAGTTAATTACAGTAATTACATGTCATTTTGAGACTTAAACACCAAACTCTGGATTATGAAGTTTTTTTAATGTTAAATATAAATTAAGCCTAAGTAAATTCACTTAAAAGTCAGAAAATCAAAGTGCACAAGCAAAACAGCACCTAATTTTATTAACTATTCCATTATAAGATTTCATAAGTCAATTTCAAAGCTAAAAACATACACCTTAGGGTTTATGACTTAAGTTTCAAAACACACAGATGCTATTCTCTGAAAGGCATGTTATTAACTGTACTTTTGAAAAGCAGTGATCAAATATATCAAATGGATTATGTCTTACAGCAGATGCTAACTGTTCTTCTGTCATGTCTTCTACAAATACTGTTTTAGCTGAGGGTTCCTCAGGAAGAGCATCTGCTGACCCCATCATTAGTAGTGTCATTCCCTGTTTAAAAAAAAAAAAATGCTCAAAGTTGATCACTTTATATCCAATGACAAAAGCGAGATATGGAAAAACACATACTGCATTCTTCTATTTGTCACATGCCACAGTCGCTGGCAATAACCTGATAATGCTAAGACTTTGACCCTGTGCCTCTAGGGAAGCCCCAGAGAAAACTTATTTTCCTTACAAATATAACATTCTATAATAGAAACACAATAAAGACACTGAAATGTGAACACCTTGCTCAATATCTTAAATGGAAGACACAGCACATGAAAGAGATAAAAAAAAGAAAAAAAAGAAAAAAGTGAAGGTTTAAAAAAAAAGTTATAGAAGAATATCTGATTGAGGATTAAAAACAGGAAATTAAAGTTAACAGCTTTTAGGGGACCTATGTTGAAATGTAATAACCATTATTGTAATATTTATCATCACTTTTACTTAAACTTTTTATAATGTCTAAGCAACACTAAGCCTTCACTAAAGAATCTTTTCTGAAAGATAACTGTCAAGAAGACCTAATAATTAAAGAATACACAAACAATAAACAGAAACACAATAGAAAAGAAATAAAATGTCTGAGAACTACATAATACTTTAAAATAAGGAAACTATAAAGCTTTACTTGGGATATATATAAAAAAGATACCTAAATAAATTGAAAGACATGATAGGTTTTGAACAAGAGAAATTACATCAAGATGTGAAATCTGGGAGCCTGGTGGTACAAGGGGTTAAGTCTCAGCACAATGCAGCTATCTGCAGCCACTGCACCACTAGGTTGATCACCAGCCAGGGAGCTGACCCACATGGCAGAGGCTTCTCCTGTCTTGCCCACTGCTCCTCTCAGCAGTATGTTTCAATCGATCTGCCTGTTCTGCTCTCCACTATGTCTCTGGTAAATCATCTCACCCCCCTGGTAACCTAGTTATTTATGCATACAAGAGCTGGGGTATAGTCTATAGGGATGGTAGGCGGGGGAGAAAATTCACCAGAGACAGAGTGTGGAGCAGTTCAGACTGACTGCCCAAAACACACTGCTGAGGAAAGCAGCAGGTGAGACGGGAGAGTTGTATTGTGCCAGTTGGGTTAGCACCAGGCTGGGGATCAAACCTGCTGCAGTGGCTGCCAGTAACTTCATAGTGTTGAGACTTAACCCTTGTGCCAGCAGGGAGGCACTATAATATGTATTTTAGACTTTGTGGAACACATATAGTATGTATCTGTTGCATAATTACGTTGTTTTCAAATTCAGTCTTAGATCATCCTTCAACTTCCAGATTTTACAAAAACTAGGATGCAGACCAGATTTGGCATGCAGCTCAGATTGATATCTTCTGTTTTATTTTCTTAAAAACTGACAAAACTCCAAAGAGCTTTTGTTATGTAGGATTTATCTACCAAATTTACCTTATTAGCAACTAAAACAGAGAAATTCTAAAGATACTTATTCAATAATTTAAAATAATTTATAGTTAACATAAAGAACATTTTTATAAGACAGCTATACTTCCCAAAACAAAAAAAAAAAATTGAGTGACATTGATTTAAATCTTTCAATAGCTTTAATTCTCACTTAAGACAGTTGGATTTCTGTATTGTCTTTCGGAGAGATCACATGTCATACAGCCCCTGTAAAACTCTACTGTACATTCATAAACAAACAGTAGAAAGGCAAATATAATCTTAATATCATCATGAAATGATACCTTAAAAGTAGCTTGTGTACTCAAAAAATACAGAGAAACCCACAGTAGTGATTAAAATACTGGGAATAGAAGGGAGAATACGAAGTGACAGTTAATGAGGAGGGGTTTTTTTGGAATTAAAATAATACTTTAAAACTAGAATGTGTTAACAGTTGCATAAATCTACGGTACAAACAGAATTAAACATGTTAATGGATTAAATCTTACAATCTTGAGCTCTCTCAATAGACTTGTTACAAAAACATAATAGGCAAAGCAAAGGCACAGATAAACGTAAAAAAAAATGGAAAAGAAGGCAGAAAAAAAGAACAGAACTAATGACAAAAGAAAAAAAAAAAGCAAGACTCGATTAAAACCCAAATATATCACTAATTACATTGAACTTAAGAGATCCGAATGTTCCAATTGAAAGATTTAAGACTAGCCATAAAACCCAACTACATTCTATCTTTAAAATCCTACTTAAGGCCCTCCCTGGTGGCGCAGTGGGTTAAAGCAGAGCACTGAGAAGCTAAAGCCACTTCCACATGAGTTCGATCCCCCCCCCCCCACACACACACACGGTGTGGCAGACCTCTCCTGACCCGCCCGCTGCTCCCCTCAGCAGTGTACTTCGTCGATCTGCCTGTTCTGCTCCCCACTCTGTCTCTGGTGAAGCCTCTCGCCACCCCTGTACCTCAGTCTGTATGTACAAATAAATAAATCTTTTTTTTTTTTTTAAGATTTATTTATTTGTGCATACAGAACTGGGGTACAGGCCAGAGGCTCAGGTGCGGCGAGAGGCTTCACCAGAGACAGAGTGGGGAGCAGAACAGGCAGATCAACGAAGTACACTGCTGAGGGAAGCAGAGGGCAGGCCAGGAGAGGTCGGCCACGCCATGTGGTCACCTCCGGGGCAGGCGGGAATCGAACTCATGCGGGAATCGAACTCATGCGGAAGCGGCTTTAGATTCTCAGTGCTGTGCTTTAACCCGCTACGCCACCAGGGAGGGCCAAATAAATAAATCTTTTAAAAAAAAAATCCTACTTAAATATGAAAACAAATGGATTAAATAGCAAATGATGAATATATAAAAAACAAAAATAAAAGAAATACAGTAGTACTATTAAAATCTGACATTCCATTATATATACTTTTTACATCAGTTGAATAGAGAATAGTTTTAGAGAAGGCTAATATAAAGGTACACCATCTATACCAGAAGAATCTAGGAATCCTGGAACCGGAAGAGGCCATCCTAAAGCCAAGCCCTAAAGGATACCACAATGAAGGGGGAAAGAAAAGGCTACACACCCTTAGGGGTGTTTAGTCATAGAGCTAAAGCAGGAAATGTCTAAGCTGTTACTGGAGTTTCAGCTAAAGGCTAATGAGTTTCTTGAAAAGAATTCTTCAAACTTACCATATTTACACAGACATGAATCCAGACACTACAGAAAATGGCCAAGTAATTTATTACAATGTTCAGTGGGCAGAGTAATCCAGCTAAACAAAGAAAATTAACCAAAGAAAAGAATTCACAGAGATGAGTCCTTCCTAACTGGTGGACATACAGCCTTTAGATTTTATAATAGAAAAAAAGAAAGAAGGCCTAAGCCTACAACTGGTTTCACAGAAAGAAGACAGAACAGGTATTAGGTAGACCAACGGGACATTGCAAAGCAGAAGTAAACCCTTAAGGAAGAACCAGTGTGCTTACTGCAAGGAACAGGTATACTAGAAGGACAGTATCCCAAATAGAAGCAAAAAGGGGGAAAGGACTGAGACAATTGGGAGAGAGAGAAGAAAGTGGATAATGAGGATTCAAACAATGGTCACAAAGGAATATAGGCAAAGTAAAAAAAAAAGGTATGAAAAAGCAAAGAGGGAGAAAGTAAACAAATGGTAGTCCAGGATGGGGGCTCGGATGAGTAATAGTGGGTTCCCAGATGTGCACTCACTCTGAAAAAGTTTGTTATGACAACTCCCTTGGAGCTCTAGGTAACTCTCACTAGAGGGGACAGTCTGATTGATTTTGTGGTAGACACTATTCAATTATGGTAGACACTTGAATAAAATTCAAGCTATTGAGTTGTGAATTCTAAATTAGCTAGGACCAGCAAAAGGATTCTAACAGTCACTGGAGTTATGGGAAAGGCAACCAAAAAAAAGTCTGTACAACCACCAGAATGCCAATCTGGTGATATTAAGCTCCACCATAACTTCTTTTACATGGAAGTACTCCGTTCCACTCCTTGGCTGTGATCTTTTAAGTAAATTTAAGGTACAGATTATTTTCTCACCCCAAGATCAGAGACTGCACCTACCAGTACCCTCAGAACATGACTTGTGATTCCAGGTGGTACTCACTCAGGATGCTCCACCAAAAGGTGAAATGCTGTTCCAGAAATCTATGAAGGGTAAGTAAAGTGGTTTAGGTTGATGGTACTCTAGGACATGCCAAAACTGCAGGCCTTGTAAGAATAAAGGGAGCCCCAAGGAAAAAGCAGTATCCTCTAAATGAGGAACCCTTGAAGAGAATACTGTTACTATCACAAAAGTTCCTCCAATCTGGTCCTGCTGCTTTTTATACAACACTACAATTTTTCCAAGTAAGTACCACTTGGTTCAGGATTTGAGGGCATTACTGAGACTTTCTAGGATCCAATCCAACCATGCCAATTTCTCACACCCATTTCTCACTAAAAGCAAAATTCTGTAAGAAGCTCTCAAAGACCCAGACTCTGAACCTTTGTTTTACACCCCTAATTGCTAAAAGGACTTTGATAAAATAAAGGGTGCCCTACCACAGGAATTCTGTCCAACACTATTCACAATGGACAAAATTTGCCCAGGAGTGTTAATACAATTATTAGGATCAAAAATGCAGCCCACCACATACCTGTCCAAACAATCTGTCCACTAGGCAATGGTCTTCATGTTTGGGGCCTACAGCTGCAAACTGTGACCTCATACATAAACCAGTGTGTCTTAGTTTAGTCCATCACTGTACGCACCACATCAGGTTTTGACACTGCCCAAACAAAAAAGTGGACTTTCACTTAATTCTGTTCTTTCAATCAGTTCTATTAGCTAATCGTAGTGTACAGTTGCAAGTCATTAGTTCTTATACAGCACCCACTAGATGCTGATGTGCTTGAGAGTAGCAGCTTTTGCCACCAGCCACGCCATGATTCATTGTCCAGCTACCAAAGGGATGATCTAAAATTACAGACATCAACAGAGCAGCTGACTATGCAGCTAAAGGTGCTGCTCATTCTGTTCTATAAGCAGCACTCATCCCTCCATGACCC